GAGGGTTGGTGTACACATTCTGAAAGCAGAAGAAAAGGGATACAGAGCAAAGGTAGTTTTGATTCAAACTCTGCCACTCACTCACTCATGCCCGGTGCCTCAGTTTCAGTACTCTCTCCCAGTCACAGCAGAACACTGAGATAGCACTGGGAGATGAGGCCCCTGGGGTGGAGGCACCACCCAATGGCTGTAACAATGGACTCCAGCATACCGAAGACTGTGAAGATGTCACAGGATCAGGCAATGTTTCATTCTGTTGTACTTGGGGTCACCATGAGTTGGAGCCAACTCAACAGCACCTAACAACGTGTGTAAAACATCTGGCAGAGTGCCCACAACCCAATAAATGCTGCAGAAACGGGGGCCATCGTATTAGTAGTTGCATGCTAAATCCAGCGCCCCCCCCCCCAAGGAAGGAGTAGAAGGGGTAGGAAGGGAAGGTGGACAGGAAGGGTTCCTTTCACCTTTACAACTTTTCCATTGCTTAATTATTTTTAATAAACATATCACTTATAGACGTACATTTCTTTTATATACCAGTTATAAAACATATGAGCACATCTTCAAAGAAATCAAAACTACACACAAGAAATGTGAATATTTCATCCCATTCCCAATCCATCTCACCATCCCTTTTAGAAGTAAAATAATCCTTATGTCGATGTACGTTGCTCCAGAACTTTTCTTACAAACTTACCTGAACATTTGTACTTGGAAGCATGTGGTTTGATTTATAGGGGCTTTCTTTCAGCAGAAGAGGAAACTGACTTTACACACTGTTGTATAGCTTGCTTTTTATACTTCATAGTATTTGGAAAATTGTCTTGGCTGGCAATTGGGGAGAGTGGGGAGAGCGCCATGTGTTTTGTGCAGGTGTTGTTGACTATGGGATACTTGCTTGAGAGCTGAAGGACCCATCCACGTAACTGATAATGATTTGTGAACCACAAACATTTGTTTTCAGGTGATGCAATTACAAACATTGCTTCTAAGCATTTTTACAGACTTTGATACATTTTCTTTGTGTCTAAGTATTTAGCTAGGATAATGCCTAGAAGTGGGCTGGGAATGCATATTTTACATCCTAAAAAAAACCCCTGCTTATTTGGCCTCTTAAAGGTACTACTACCCACAGTGAACTGGCATGTTAGTTTCCAACATTTTTTCACAATGGATATCGACTTCCTTCTAAATGTTTCCACATCTGATGGGGAAAAAAAGCACTTCACTTTTATCATTTCCCTGATTACTGATGAGTTTGAGTGTACCTGGATACATTTGCTTTGGACACTGCCTACTGTAAAAATGGCGTGGTGGCAGCACGTCTGAACTCCTCTCACTTCACAAGACGGACGGAGGATCAAGATCAACACTAGCAACCCAGGGCTGATTCCTATGAAACAGAATTCAGACATGCCTCCACCTTCCAACCTTTTCACCAATTCTAACACCAACCATCCCTCCAACAGTACTCTCTACTTCTCTGCTGGGTTCAATAATTTGATGCAATGGCCACACAGAATTCACAGACAATATTCATGATTATAGGGTTTATTACCAAAAATACCAAACTCACTGCCGTCAAGTTGATTTGACTCATAACGACCCCTCCTTGGGTTTCTGAGGCAGTATCTCTACGGAAGTAGATAGGCCAATCTTCCTTCCTAGAAATGGCTAGCGGGTTTTGAACCGCCAGCCTTCTGGTTAGCAGTCAAGTGCCTTAGGCACTATGCCACCAGAGCTCCCTGGGTTTATTACGAAAGTAAAAGGCTACAACTCAGGATCAGAAATGACTGGCTCAGGATACAGTTCTTCAATCAGGACAGCCTCTTCTCAGCAGTGAACAGAATCACGCCTCTCTCTCTGGCTCATGGCCTCTCAGTCTGTGGCCCCTTGACTTCTGCCCTGCTCCAGCAAGGGTTACAAAACTCTTTCAGCTCTGTTGATAATGCCAAGAAGCACCCTACTCTGCCAGTAGGCCTCGGCCGGGAGGCAAACGGCCCCAGCTCTGTGCAAACAGCTCCTGCAACTGCCCAGAGGCACACCACTCCAGCAGGAAGGCTCCTGCCCAAGGCTCTCATCATTCTGGCTCCTTGGGTAGGGAAGCCCACTGCGTTGTCTCATGCTGGTCTTTTGGTTCTGTTGCTGTTTTCTCTCGGCCACTGCTTCTCATTGTCTCTTGCTGTCTTAGCTCTGTCTCCGGCATCAAGGAGGTTCAGAGTAGGGATCTTGTGTCCAAAGGACATGCTGCATGCCTGGTTCTTCTTGATGGTAGTTGAGATTCCCTCTTTCAGCTTCTCAGATGACTTAAGCCTAGTGGGATGGCAAAACTGACAAGTCCTCATGTTAGGGTTTCATACACCTTACGTCCATGTTCCCACACCCACATAGGTGCCATGGACCTTATTTACATTATTAGCAAGCTATCCAGTCCTCTTAGGAGCTCTGGTGGTGAAGTGCCTAAGGTATTTGACTGCTAATCAGAGGGTTGGTAGTTCAAACCCACCAGCCACTCCTCAGAAGGAAGGTTGGGCAATCTACTTCCAAGGTGATACTGCCTCAGAAATCCAAGGAGGGTCGCTAAAAGTTGGATCTGACTCCACAGCAGTGGTTGCATTTGGTTGTGTTCCAGTCCTCTGGGAAGGGCACAAACACTTCACATTTGCATAGTCCCCCATCATTTCGTGGGAGTTACAGACTACGGCTAGGCCCATATTAATTCACTGAACCACACCTATTCATGTCTTTTGCCCATTTTTCTTTGGTTTGATCCTTTCCAGAAAGATGAGTGGACTCTGCTCACTGTTAGGCCGAAGCAAATCCAAGCCACCAATATTTCAGTTAGCAGCTTCCTCTGGGTGTCAGGCCCTGATGAGACAGCCTGATAAGACAACCGAGGTGACAGAACCTGCCCAGACTAAAAGT